TGGACGATGATCCTTTTCGTTTTGTTTTGATATTTTTTGTTTTTTTGTCATCTAGAATAATATCAATATAAGTATTTCTTTTTGAATTTGCAAATTTTGGTTAAATGGAAGAGGCTCAAATAAAATGTAAAAATATTTTGTGGACAACCAATCATTAGCGATTTACTAGTGACATCTGATTATATGTATAGTGATCCTTTGTTTTTATCTACATAAATCTCATAAGATTAATCGTGTAAAATTTTGTATATCCATTAATAATTAAGTTTTCGGAAGTTAAAGTTACGGAAATGAATGTATGAGATTAAATGAAATGAAATATGGGCAAAAGAAAAAGGACAAAAAGTTTTTTTTATAAATGCTTCAACCCAGACGAATAAGCTAAACCAGAGTGTGGGTGTTGGTGTAGAAAGTGAAAGAAGATCCATAATAACACTCTCCTGGAAAATGGTCAACGTCCACTTTATTTTTATATAGTACTAACACAAAAATTAGAAGAATTACAGATAATTTGGTGAACTGATATTCTTTTTTTTCCATAGAGCTGAAAGTTTTTGTTAATTTATTAATTTCTCAACTATTCTTTATATCGACCAATTTTCCTAGACCTGAAAACATAAAAGATTGTTGTTTTCTACATATATATATGAGTAGTGTATATTATTGGTTTATATCATTTCAAAGGATGTTGATTATGACAGAATTTCTAGTTAAAAAAAAAACTCTGCAGTGATAACCCTTTACGCTCTAACACTAATTCAGTAGAGTTGGTGTTGAGTTAAACACGAGAATAGCTTATTCAGAAGTAGAACGAATAACAAATGATCGATTCGTCTTGAATGGACACATAAGCATTGTACTTATTGCTAATTTACGTTTTTTTCCGCAGTAATCTTCTTTTTCCGTCTGTAGAAAGCTGAAAGGCTACTTATCATGAATTAATTTTTGAAAAATGAGTCATCTTGAGCGATGACTTATGGTCAGATGCTTTGCAAAGGTGGCTGTTACGATCTCGTTCAAAGACAAGGCCATAGCAGAAGTTGTAGGTCTCTATTTTTTTCGTCAATAAGAAATGATTTAAAAACTATCATGGAATGCTCCATTACGTATTAGAATTGAAAAAATAATTTAATACTTCGGCATTAGTGTTGAATTAACATCGGTATTAAGAGAGGGCCCATGAGAAGACCGACCTTTGTTGAGATCGTTGGTACCTGTCAAATTTTATTTTATTTTCTCTTTGTTTGCTAGATAGATAGAGTATGCTATGAAACTAAGAAAACCAAAATATCTCGTTTTGAAAGTGTTTCCTTCACGAGATCTAGAACCCACAAGTTTGACCACTGAGGATCAATATGCATAAATATGCATCTTTTAGTTAACCTTAGTATTTAGTTAATTTATTTTTTCTATGATAGGTCTGACAAAGTTTGTTCATATACCATTCGATAGAGGAGACAAAATCCTACAAACAAAGTTATTTTGAGCTTCATTTGAAATTGCATCAGGTGTGTTAGGCATAAAATACTCGACAACTGAGGGATCTAGTATATAGCGATTTTCCAAGTATTTCGAATATTTTGATATACTTTTTAAAAGATTTCACGAATTTTTTTTATTCATTATATACACTGATCAATTCTACGTCGAATGGTGTAAAAAGAAAACTGAATAAAGGTTGTCAGGACAGATCGAAATAGATCTCCGAATGTAATAGGGGTATAGTATTGGAAAAATGACATGTTTCCATAGTGACTATATTACTTGATTAGAAACCAATCTATTAGCAAAATTGATAACAACTTTATGTTCAACAGTAAAAATTGAGTTAGATTTCGTATTAAATCAAACAATCTAAACCAAATTTAAACATATAGTTCATAACTATTAAACGTATTCTCATCAAATATCTCAAATGATAACATATCATCTTGCATATACCCGTCTCGGTCAAGAAATACTCTATTTTGTACAAAACTAAATTGTGAACATAGTGCACTATTTATATTTTCTGTTTAGACAACATAGGATGTTGTTGCCCTTATGTTTTAGAATGAAACATCCTCATAATAGTCAAAAGAACAAATTCTTCTATAAACAAAATTTGTTACTGAAAATTCCAGGAACTCATATTCATACGTTTCTTACGCTGAATCTTATCCAGATCAATAGCCTTCAAGTTAGGATGAATATAGCAGTTCAAATTAACTTTTTTTTCAAACCCCTGGACTGTTCTTCATTCTCATCATATCATTTCTCACATCTAATTGTTCCATCTCTCTTTTTGGTTGCCATGCACTTCAGAAAACTAATAACAATGAAGTCTGAATTTTTATGTAGTGAAATCACTAAAAATATAAGATTCCAACATGTTCTTCCCTCTCTTGCCTTTATTGACATTGTTTCTCTCTTCTTCTTTGGTATTTTGCCTTCTTTTGTATTCTTTCTATGATATATCTTCTTCTATTATCATTGTGAATTATTCCCTTATAAACATATTACGTTCGTACATATGGAGAGAGTAAGTGAAATAAATAGTTAGGAGTGCAAGTGCTCGGTACATCGTCGTTATACCATGAAAAAGAAATATAAATTTCTCGTTTCAATACGTAATCTTAATGTAACAGAATGATTGATTGTTTCTATTTGAAGAAATCCTTTTGTTTCTGTGTGTCTAAATGAATGATGTCCATATTGTGCGTAATAATAACAAAGAAAAAAAGGATGATAAAAAAAAATATATTTCTTTTGAATCGACTGTATGTCTTCTATTTTATTCTATATTAATAAAAGAAAACAAGTTAGTTTTTACCATTCGTGTGTTCGATTTCGTATTGCGTATCAGCGTAATTATTGTTAGCAGATCAAGATGTTTATTCAACCAAGAAACTTGTCATCAAAATTATCTCTCAACTTCGGTTGGTCTCACGGAAAGTTTCAGTGAATGTGATGGGAATGAAATTGAATGTCGTGACTTATGTGAAAATAGAACAGTTTTTCTATCGTTAAAAGCAGTGAAGTCTAAAATAGAATATTTATTACTATGGTGTGGATTTGGGTGGGTGCGGGTGCGTGCAGTTGTTTTCTGAACGCAATCCCATTCACACCCGCACCCTCAGGATTTTTGACTGTACATATAAAATTAGAGATAGAATCATCAAAGAATAGTTTTTCAAACTAATGTAAATTCTTATCGAAATATTTTTGCCATTAATCTATACAACCAAAATGTTGTCTGAGAAGTTTATTCAGTTATAAAAGTCTATATTGTATTTTGCTTTTTCACATATCTACGTTGATTACAATTCAATGACTGATGACCTGATGAAAGTCAGCTATAAAAGAAAAATAGTGTAACAATGCTAATTAACAGCCAGAGTCTATTATCGGAAAACTCAATCGACGAACCTATAAAGTTTTTATAAATAATACTCATCTATCGATCAATCGAGATCAATGAAGAAAATTACGACAAAAAAAAAAAGGTAAGTTTAATTATTCTACTATATATTTCCTATTCAGCAAAGAATAATTAATACATTTTCAATTAATAAATTTTTATAAATTGAATCATTTAATAAAGAATAACATGAAATTTAAAAAAAAAAGATTTATTAAATCAATTAATAATACTTATATTAGCAAATTGATAATAGAAGTAAGCATGTGCAAAATTAATTTTTCTTTCGTTCGGAATTCCATCAACAAGAAATTTTAATTCTAGTTTCAAACTGCTGGATATGTTTGCTTTACTATAATCTACACGTTTAAAAACGACTTATCGTTTTTCTTGGTAGTCGTCATTAACTTAATCGATTTTGAACAACATATTCTTATATTCAAAATTTAACGATATTTTTGAACTGAAAGAAACTTTAGAATGATTTACACATGTTGCCTTTTGATGTAGAAAATTTATTATTGACCTATAGCAATTAGTCAAATGATATTTCTATTTCCTATCCATTATGATTTTTTCTTTCGAATCACTCATGAGTTATAATGCGTTTTTTTTGTCAGATTAACATCCTCTATTCAATAAGTTTCCGTTTTAATTGTTCTCATTGTGACGCCAAGCACTTTTTTTTCTTTTATGAATTTTTCCACATCACTAAGACTCACAACTAAAATAGATTTTCGATAACTTGATTTAGCAATTTTAGATATAAACTCTTTTCTGTATCTGTCTCATTCTAAATTCTTAACATCTGTTATTAAGTGTCACTTTAAGTTTAATATAGAAAATATTATCTTTCTTCAGATATTATGAAAATACATTTGCATATATTACTATCCAATTTTGTATTAATCTAGGCGAATATTAGATTGTAATAAAACTCATAAATCGAACGAAATGCCTAGCTGAAAACTCAATTATCATCTAGAAATCATTGTTAAATATGAAACTTTTGATTAAGATTTTAGAAAATTTTTTTTCAATTTTGCAAATTTAAATTTCTTTCATTAATTGGTTATGTATAAAAAAGAATATATATAATCACTCATTTATATAGAACTAATAAATTTAATATTAATTTCAAAATCAAAATTACATTTAAGGTTAAATACTTTTCATCAAGTCCATTCCGTTCATTTCTACATGTTTCTATTATTAACTTATAATTATTGACAATAAGCATTAATATTTTCTATTATTTGACGTCAATTACAAGTTTTACATTTAACAAAACTAAATTTAGAAACTAATTTATTAGAAATAATTTCCGACTCCATTTTAAAAGAAAAGTGTAGAAAATTATACTAAACACAATCTTAAATATAAACAACTTCAATGTCTTGTGTTTATAACATATAGACAATGACACTTAGAAAACGGAAAATTTTTCAAAATTCAAAATATTTAAAACAAAACAAAACTATTCGATTAATATGAAGCATAATAAAATGGTTTTTTTTTTATTGACATATTTTAATCATCATAAGATAAAAAAATTAATAAAAAAAAAAAAAAAGAAAGAGTCACAAAAAATAAATAATTATTATTTCGTTTTATTTGTTATACCTAATGTTGATGATGTTAAACGTATTTGTTCAACAGTTTCTTGTAAACCTTGTGCTATATCAGTTATAGCATTTCTTGATGATGGCTTTTGACACTGTGTTAATACTGTACGACATGTTTGATCAATTGAAGTAAATTTTTCAATAATTTTATCAAAATTTTCTCTTGTTAATTCATGTCGAAGTTCCGAAGTAACATCAGTTTTTTTCGTTGAAACATTCAATAATAATTCAATTACTTGTAAATATGTATTAGCTAAATTTTTTTTTGCTGATTCATCTTGTGATCGTATTGATTGAGCCACACCTTTAATTGACAAAAGAAAAATATTTTATACAAAAAAAAAAAAAAAACAATAATTCACTAAATACTTACTATTAATAATTCGAATCTAGAAAAATAAAAATAAAAAATAATTTCTTTTTTTGAATTTTAATAAAAAAAAAAAAAGAACACTTACAATACGCCATAAACGAAATGAAATAAATAATAAAGAAATTTCTGCAATGACACTTGGTTTTTTTAAAAAATAAATATCAATAGCAAATGAAACAATAACAATAAGTGCATCTAACCATTCCATTTTTCTTCCTCGAAAATTCCACCATTTTTTACCAAATGCATATATTTTAATTGTAACTTCAACAACAAATATAGCTAATAAAACAATTGATGCATAATGTAATAATTCAATAGCTAATTTTAATTTATGATTTTCAACTTCACCATTATGTGTTGTATTTTTTGCTTTATTATCACATTGTTGACTTAAATATATAAAATCTAATAATAATTCACTAACAACAAGTAAACAATCGATAAGTACTAAAATTATAATAGCAAGATGAAATGCTGTTTTTTCAACTATATGTACAATAAAACGTTGATGATTAAATTTAACATTCCACCAATTATTAAAACATGAACAACATTTATCGTTACAACAATTATCATTTTCATTTGATTCTTGATCAAATTGTTCAACTGCTCTTAATGTATGCATAGATAAATAATTAGCAATTGGATCCATTCCACCTGATACATTTGATTTACTTGATGTTGCCATTTTTACTTTTTATTTGAAGTTTATTTATTTATTTACTTTTTTTTTTTTTTGAGGAGACTATTTTATCTTGAAGTATCACACACACTAAGCTTCTTATCAGTGAGAAAAAAAAGAAGAAGAAGAACAAAAAAAGGAGAAGACGATTGCAAATAATTATCTTTACAATCTTACTTTGTTTTTAAAATAACTTGATAAATAATATTTCAATTTTTTATTATGTACTCGTCGATAAAAATAAATTTGTAATAACATTATTAGATAAATCTAATTAATAGAATTTTATTGATAGAAAATTATAAGAACTACTCATTATATTTTATATAGAATAAGTAGTAATGTTCAATCATTGAAAATCAATTGTTAAAATCGATATTCATTGAAAAGTTCATATTTAATTTGTATGCAATAATATAATGTCAAGTTACTTGATATTAATTTAGAATAAGAAATTTTTATTTCAACTATATTTTCTATAACAATATAATAGATAAATTCGATTCGTTATAAATTAATATATATATATAAATAAGATAATCGAATAATCATTTATATCAAAATGATTTGATTAAGCAAGTTTCTAAAAAAAGCTCGTGTTTCTTTTTTTGAAAATAATACACAATTGAAAAATAGCCCGCCATTTCAATACAGCAAAATAAGAATGTCACATATAATAAAAATATTTACATCAATTAAACAATTAAGTATTTTACTTTTATATAGTAATAACAAATTTATTCTTTATATGTTAAGAAGTTTTTCTGGAGTGGGGGAGTCGGAATTAAAAAAATCTCATTCTACTGCAGTGCATGTAGACGACGATGTATATGGTTGGACTGAATGTTCACACGCATATCAACAATCAACCACACTATGATCTGGTATTTTTTATATGAAAATAAAATTAATATATTACAATAATATTATATATTTTGAGATGATGAAATAGTTTTTTGATTGTGGGCAACAGTTAACGTGAAATATATTTATTATTAATTACTTGTAATAAAGGATTAAAAATAATGAAAGTAATTTGTAATAAATTTGCAAAACAAAGCAAGCTGTGATAAAAAGTAATAATTATTATTACCAATCAATAAGTAACAATTATTAAAAAAAAAAAAGCAATCATAATACGACACTTCTATATAGCTACGATAAACAATGGTGCCTTGATTTTTTTGTTTTATTGTCGAAGAAAATAAATCATTAGAGAATGAATGAATGAATGAATGAATGTTTTCTGATTTTCTATTGAAAAACTAATTATTTTATGTCATTAAAATATTGAGAATCTGACCTTATCTAAGAGTGAATGACAATAATTCTTATAGAAGTAAAAGAGTGTATGTATTACATGAACGGCAGAAAAGAATCTTATTCAACTTCCTGCATAAAGAAATAACTATCTTCAACGAATAATATCATTTCTTTTCCGATTATATATAATAGTATAGAAAAATCAATGAAATGATGAGAATATAATTCAGTTAAAAACAAAAAAAAGAGTATATCGAGTTCAACATTTTATACTCTTTGTCATTTGTGCTTTTATTTCTTTTGTATTGATTTGATTCTACTAAGTTAAATCATAATACAAGACAGACAAAGTCATCAAGAATAAGAAAAAAGAAAATCGGAACTCTCTTTAATCGAGCAAAAAGAGAGATTTAGTAAAAATTTCTATATATAACATCAAGATACATAACACATTTCATTTCCGCAGGATGCAATCATCTTTGCATAGTATTTATTCATCGATTTTCTTCTTAAAAATATAAAATTACGAAAATAGAGTCCGTATGTCTTTTTTATTTTTCTCTCGTTTCTATTTCTTTCATTTAATATAAAGCAATGAATAAATAATTATATATTCTCTGCCTTCTTTTATTTTTGCCGTTCTATCTCTTCATTACAGATCCATATTTTAGGAAAAAAAAACCGTACAAAAAAAAAAAAGAACAACCGGAGCCTGACAAAGATCCACACGAAAAAAAAACAACAATTGTAGTAATTAGACAAAGAAATAAAGATCTAAGAAGAGAGAAACAAAAAAAAAAAACGACCGGCATATAATTAACGTTATATATTTGTGATTCGCACAAGAGAATTTTCCTCTATCAACAACAACAACAACAACAGCATAATAGACAGATGAAAATCGTGCATACATAAATTTGACAAAAGAGAGAAAAAAAAGATTCACTCTTTCACATATAAGAGTTTCATAAAAATAACAGACAGAGGAAAAAAAGAAAAAAAATTTGGAAGCATAGATAAATTTTGCAAATGATTGATCTTTTGCTTGGATTTTTTTTTTTCTTTTTATGAAAACATTGACAAAGACATCTTTTTTTTTTATTTGTGACAAACAAAAAGAAAGGAAAGAAAACAAAACAAAAATTTTTTCATATAGAAATAAATATATATATTTATAGAGATAAGAGAGAATAACTTCTATATATATATTAGAATTAAATTGAGAAAAAAAAGGAAAGAAAGAAAGAAATGTACAACACAAAAGAAAGAAAAATCATGTTCAATTTGTTTCTATGTTAGATCTTATTTACTTATCGGTTAAATTTCGACGACTAGACCGATAATTTGTGCGTATTGACTATTTTAATACAATAACATAAATATAAATTATCATCTATCGTTCATTTTATTTGCTGATGAACGTCGAGGATTTGATGATGATGAACGTGATCGATTTTTACGTTCATTTGTAACTGAATTTGGTCGATTTTGTACATGAACACTTGGTTTAAGACGTCCAATTTTAATATTAACACGTCCATGTGGAAGTGTCTAGCAAAAAAGAAAATAAAAAAAAAAAGAATCAGTTATTTATATAAACACTTTATGTTTATACTTTAAGTGTATAAGCAACATGTTCATAGGCTGCTGTTCTTAAATCTTGTCCATTTACTTCAAGAATTAAATCACCAGACATTAATCGACCATCTTTTTCTGCACAACCACCTTCGAGCTAATCAAACAAAAAAAAAAAAAACCAGTAAGTTTTTTTTATATGAAAAATTTTTTATATTCACAATATGAGAAATAAATACACCATAACCATGTCGTCGTCCAATGATACTAAATCCTAAAGAAAATAAAAATAGATTTATAGATCAATAACTAGATTAAAATTTATACCAAGTCCTTTGCCAGATTTTTTAATTAAATCAATTGTTATTATATCAAATTTATCTTGTTCATTTGTCATTTCAGTTAAAACTTTTCCTCGTAAAACAAGTATACGAACAATATTTGTTGCTTGTCGTAATGCTTGAATAGCTTCTTCATGTGTTGCTGAACGTAAATCAATGGAATTAACTTCAAGTATTTGATCACCAACAAGTAAACGACCATCACGTTGTGCAGCACAACCATCATAAATATCATGAATAATAATTGCTGACTAAAAATAAAAATTTAATTTTTTCTTTTAATTATAACAAAAATAAAAATCCCGTTTTTAATTTTACTAATTGTGTATCGGATCCACCAACAACTGAAAGTCCAAGACCAGAATGTCCACGATCAATTTCAATTAATGTTTCTTGTCCAACAATAATTGATCGTACACGAGGATCATCTTCTGATATAATATCATTATCATCTTTAAAAACACAAAAAATATTTTATTAAAGTTTTCTTTTTTTGTTTTTTTTTTTTTACTTGAAATTAATGTTGGTAAACTTTCAGCTTGATTTATATTAACAACAACTGGTTGAGTTTGTGGTTCTCGATATGGTAAACATGTTAAATGTATTTGATTACTATTTGCATTTTCTAACATATTTTGTATATCATTAAATTTTAATACTTCAATTGATGTTCCATTTATTTGAATTAATTGATCACCAGCTCGAATATCTTGCTAGAAAAAAGACAAAAAAAGACAAAATTAAATAAAAATATTCATTTGAACTTTGTCCTTAGAGAATAAAAATTTATTTATATATATATATATACTTGATCGGCTGCTCCATGTGGTTGAACACTTTGTACCCAAATTGCATTATCTTGTTGAGTTAATGTTAAACCAAATGAACCTTTTTGATCCTATAAATTAAAATAAATAATTGAATATATATCTATATCTATATCTATATCTATATATATTATGAAAATATTAATTTAAAAGAAAAAAATTTTACTTTATTTAATATAAGTGTGATTGGTGCACCTTGTACAGACATTGAAGCACGTCGAGGCACTTGTGTTGATGAGGATAGTATGGGTTTTCTAGTTGTATGTTCAGTTGATGATGGTGTTGAGACTGACAGTGATGAAGAAGAACTTGAAGATGATGACATAATAGATATAGGCGATGCAGTTGCGCCGTTTGTTGTTGTTTTTATAGACAATGCTGGTGTTTCTGATAAATTCTCTTCGGTTTTTTGCTTATTAGGTGATGATATAATGACGTCTGAAGGCAATATATTATTTGTCTGGCTTTGTAATTCGTTTGATTGTGTCACTGAAGAAGAATGTGTAGGTGATATTTCGTCTAAGAAATAAATTATAATTGATTTGTTTTTTATTTTAATTAAAAAAGAAAAATACAAACCTTGATCTTTTTCAATTGTATTATCTATTGAAGAAGTTAATGCTTGGTTATTATCTATAAAAATATCTTTATTTGTTTGATTTTTATTTTCTAAGTATTTATCATTGGCATGATCTGCTTGTTCATGCATTAATAAAAATGATGAAGTTGTTGTTGATGGTTGCTGTGTCGACGATAATTCGTCATTTTCATATGCGTACGTTGGTTGATCGAATGATGATGAAATGGAACGATGAGTAGAAGAATCGACATCGGAAGAAATAGAATGAACCGTCGTAATCGTGGCATTACTACTAATATTATGATCTAATGATGAAACTTCGTTGTTGTCGCTTTGAACGTCACTAGTTGTTATTATTTGATTAGACGACAACGACGATGATTTTGGTATGTCTTCAGCAACTGATAATTTTTCATCTTT